ACGGCATAGGTCTAAAGTGAGAGTGGAAAGGCTTAAAAGGGACCTCAGGGGCAACCTTCCCATACAAAGGGTGGTGTATGTATGGAATGAGCTGCCAGAGGAAGTGGTGAAGTTGGGTACAATTACAACATTTTACAAAGCATCTGGATGGATATCTGAACAGTAAGAATTTAGAATGATATGGATAAAATGCTGGCAAATGGGTCTAGTTTAATTTAAAATTTCTGGTCAGCAGGGCCAAGTTAGACCTAAGGGTCTGGTTTCATGCTGTACATCTCTGAAGGCTATCATACCATCAAAGATTGGAAACTTAATAGATCAAGAATTTAGTTTAGATAGGAGTGATGGATCAGGAGGTGGGGCCGATACCTAAGATGGGCACTGAGATGTCATGACAGGAGATGGGAGTAACTGAAGAAAAATGTGGGTTCAGAACTCAGGCAATGGTGATCTTTGGAAGCAGTTTGGCCAGTGGGTTAGTGGGAGGGAGCAAAGCAGCTGATCAGATTATCTCAATCTAGAAGCTCCATGAGATTCTCATGCTTGTTGTTTGAGGTAAGGATGGAGGAATCAGGGGAGAGGGAAAGCATTTCAAAACAAACTAAATTGTATCAGAAATATATAAAATACTTCATCCATTGTGTTTAATACAAAGCTGATTTATTTTTACAATACTCATCCTGATAACTGGGTTCTAGTACTTTAACATCAGCAGAAACTGACTTGAATAAACATAGTTCAGTCCTGGATGTAACTAATACTAATATCAAATCAGTTTCGTTAATTGTGAACACTGGTGACTCAACAACTATGACAAATATTGAATCCTTCTACATACTTCTGGCAGGAAAATGGTCTCTCCACAGTGTGACACCTCTGGTGTACGGTCAGAACAAATGATTGCCTGCACCCAGTCGTGCAGACAGAGCATATGAATGATCTTGTTGACGTGAACACATTGATGGGACTTCAGATCCCCAGGTCTTTTAAAAGACTACTCACAGTCTGAGAATTTTCACTCTGTGAAAAAGTTGCTTTGTCGGTCCCTTTTAAATCTTTCCCCTCTCACCTTAAACCAATGCCCTCTAGTTTTGTTTCCACCAACATGGGAAAAAAGACCTTGGTTATTCACCATATTCATGGCCTTCACGATTTTGTGAACCTCTATGATGTCACCTCTCAGCCTCTGACGCTCTATGGAAAACAACCAGAGTATTCAGCCGCTCCCTACAGCTCAAAACTTCCAATACTAGCAACATCCTTGAAAATCTTTTCTGAACCTTTTCAAGTTTACCAACATCTTTCCAATAGCACGGAGACTAGAACTGAATACAGTATTCCAAAATGCTCTAACCAATGTCTTGCACAGCCACCAACATTCCAACTCTTATTCTCAATGTACTGACCAATAAAAACAAGCATACCAAACAGCTACTTCACTATCCTGTCTACCTGTGACTCCATTTTAAGAAACTATAAACCTGCACCCCCAAGGTCTTTTTGATCGGCCATACTCCCAAGTTCCTACCATTAAGTTTATAAAACCTGCCCTTATTCGCCTTACCAAATGTAACACCTCACATTTAACTAAATTAAACTCCATCCACCAACTCTTCAGTCCATCGGCCCATCTGGTCAAGGTCCCTCTATACTCTGAGATAATCTTCTTCACTCTCTACTACATCAGCAATTTTAGTAGCATAAAATGCAAAACTACTAACGATACGTCCTATATTCACATCCAAGTCATTCATATAATTAACAAAAAGCAGTGGGCTCAGCACCAATCCTTGTGGCACACTGCTACTCACAGGCCTCCAGTCTGAAAAGCAACCAACACGTGTTTCTCCTACCTTCAAGCCAATTTTGTAACCAAATTGTTAGCTCTCCCTGGATTCCACTGAATCTAAACTTGCTAACTTTCCTGACCTGCTATGGGAGCAAGGGGGGAGATTGCTGCAACCGTAGCAGAGATATGCAATGCTTCATTGGCCACAGGTGAAGTGCCAGATGGTTGGAGGATAACTAATGTGGTTCCTTCATTCAAGAAGGGTAGCAGGGATAGACAACATAATTCCAGACTAGTTAGTCTAATGTCAGCGGTTGGGATATTACTGGAAAAAAAAACTGAAGGACAAGGTATTTCAACATGGAAAGACAGAGGTTGATCAGAGATAGTCTGAATTGAGATTGTTGAATAGGTGACAATATACATTGGTGAGGGCTACGCATGTGATGTGATTACATGGTCTTCATTGAGGCCCTTGACAAGGTCCCACATGGAAGACTGGTCCAAAAGGTAGGAGACCATAGGATCCAAGATGAATTGGCAAAGTGGATCCAATACTGGCTTACAAATGGGAGGCGAAGCGTGATGGTGGAGGGATGTTCTTGAAATTGGAAGCCCATGCCCAGTGGTGTACCATGGGGATTGTTGCTGGGATCCTTGTTGTTTGTGTGCACATGAATGAATTGAATGTAAATGTAGAAGGTACAACTAATAAGTTTGCAGATGACACAAAAATTGGTGTTGCCGTTAGTGAGAATAGTCCCAGGCTACAGTCTGATAATGACTAGCTGGTAAATAGGGCACAGCAACAGCAGATGAATTTAATCCCAATAAGTGTGAAGAGATGTAATTTGGGCGGTCTAAAACGAAAAGGATATGCATGATAAACAGTCATTCCCGAGGGAGGGCTGAGGATAAAGGTACCGTAGTGTAGAACTCCATAGATCCCAGACAGTATCAGCACAGGTAGACAGCATAGTGAGAATATCACACAGAATGCTTGACACCGTTAGCTGGGACATAGACAAAGCGGAAGGAAGTTTGGTTACAAATTTGAAAAAACATTGGTTAGGTCACAGCTGGAATACTGTGTGCCGTTCTGACTGTCACACTATTGGAAGGATGTGATTGCACTGGAGAGGGGGCAGAGAATGTTCACCAGAACGTTGCCTGGGATGAAAAGTCTCAATTATCATAATTGAGACTGGATAGGCTGAATTTATTTTCCTTGGAGCAGACGAGAATGAGGGAGATCTGATTGAGATGTATGAAATTATGAGAGAGTTTGTCGTGAGAATCTCTTCCCCATGACAGATGTATCCAAGACCAGAAAGCAGAATGGAAAGGGCAATTGGTTTAGTGGAGGTCTGAGAAAAAAGTCACCCAGTGGGTGATGTATATATACACAACATTCTACCTGATATAGTGGTGGAGACAGGTACTCTGACAACATTTAAGAAACATCAGGATGAGTACTTAAAATGCAAGGGCCTCTTGAGCTGTGGACCAAATGCAGGTCAATGGGATCAGTATAGTCTGGTGTTTGTTGGTCAGTGGAGACATGATGGACTGAAGAGCCTGTTACTATGCTTTATGTCTGTATGAAACTAAACTGATTTACTAATTTCCTTCAGGGAATGGATCCTGCAAGCAGGTCTGGGTCTACTCAAGACTCCACTTTCTATGGAAGGAAAAAATGAGAGATGGAAGAGATAGCAAGGAAAAGGGTTGTAAATATTCACAAATCGACACACCATCCCGACTTTTCTGACATCCAGTACTGGATGAGCAGAAATTCCCTCTAATTAAACTTTGAGAAGACTGAAGCCATTGCCTTCACTCCCTGTTACAAACTCCAATCCCTTATCACTGACTTCATCCCTCTGCTTGGTAACTGTCTGAGGCTGAACCAGACTGTTCACAACCATAGTGAAATATTTCACCTAAGGTGTGCTTCCAACCACAAATCCCCATCATCACCAAAACCACCTCCCACTTCCATCTCAGTACACTCATCTGGCTCCACCCTAGTCTCAGCGCATCTGCTGCCAAAACTCTCATACATTCCTGTGTTACCTCTAGGCTTAACTTTCCTCACACACCTCATGCCAGTCTCCCACATTCAAGCTCCCTATAGTCTTCAAGTCATCCAACACTGTGGTGCCTGAGTGCTTCTTTGCATACCATCCTGTTCGTCCTGCTTTCATCCTGTGCTCACTGACTGACACTTTTTCTGGGGGACAAAACAGCAAGAATTTCCTAACCTCATTCAGAAATTGCTCCACAACACTCCCCTCTCTTCATAATATCCTCCAGCCTCACAAACCTTTGAAATGCAGTGTATCTTAAATTCCTGATTTTAAGGGTCCCATCTCAAGCCTTGACTTTTCAAGGCATAAGCTCGTGAATTAAACCACCCTGATTTTCAACCTCACTTCTTCTTTTCAAGATGCACCTTAAACCCTATCTCTTTGGCCCAGTTTTAGGTGACCTATCCTAATATTTCCACATTTGGCCTGATGGAGATGATAAAACTAGCATGGAAAGAGGGAGGGCAGAATTGAAACAGATCAATGTATTGAAATGGATTCAGATCCACACTAAAGGAGACACACCAGGCCCAGAGCCACAGAACCTCTCAAGTAACAGGCACAGTGCTAAAAGATCAAAAATGTTTTGATGAATAATCAATAATACTCAACAATATCACTGTTTTAGAGATAAAATTCCACCCCCCACTCCCCCCTCCAAAGCCTACATCTGGAAGGATATCAGAAACACTGGAATCAGAGAAAAATCTCAGTTGAGGAAGTCCTTGGTGAGTAAGTGATGTCACCATGTAATTGTTGCTGCATGATGACATCACCCACAGGATGACAGAGCATATGGGTCTGTGCAAACCAGAGATCACCTACACATTGGGAAGGGCAGCTGGGTCCCTCAGAGAGTTCAGATTGGTTCATTCACCAGAATGGTTCAGAACTGAGGGATGTGTGATGTGAGGAAACAATTGAAGCTGATGCGAGATTTGACAGAGATGTAAGGATTTATGATTGGTTTCAGTAAGCTAGACACAAACAAGATTTTCATATCATCTGATAGGAAATGGATCATGGGACACAAATTGAAGATTTTGGACAAGACTGATAGGGTGGATGTGATGGAGCCGTTATACACAGTATGTGGGAATGACTGGGAGGTCAACACTTACACTTAAAGGCCAATGATACCCAGTATCTGATGAATCCACCAATTGCGTCAGATTCTTACGTGATGGTTGTAGATTCCTGTCTGTGTACCTTCTTCAAATATTCTGGAAAAGAAGTTTAGGAAAGACAGTGTCAGGCAAGGTTAAAACTCAGACAAATTATTCCCTTTGTTTGATTTTTCTGTGTGCATGTTTGCCTTTTCAAGCCTCAGTGAAAGAAATTTCCAAAATCTATCACTATCAGTCCAGGATAGAATTGAGCAATATCAGGTTTTAAATGTTAACGTTGTTTCTCTAGCCATCAAGGCTGCTAGTTCTACGGGGTTTCTCCGGTGTCTTCTATTTCACTTTAGAAAGTCATAACATCCCTTTCCTCCTGGCCCAGAGTGACCACATACGCTCCTTGCTGTACACTGTCCCTCAATGTGATTGGCATTCCTTCGATTCGATGGTGATGTCTAATCAGTGTTGTGAACAGCCGCCCTGGGTCTTCATGTGACCAACCAGAGCCACAAAAACGGAAGTTGCTGGAAATGCTCAGCAGATCTGGCAACATCTGTGAAGAAAAAAATCAGAGTTAACGTTTCAGGTCCAGTGACCCTTCCTCAGAGTAACAAATCTTTGGACACATGGGAAGGTTGTCTCATGAAGTAATGGGATCTGGATTCCTTTACTTTCTTTGTCTGCTGCCCCTCTGCCACATCAATAAGACATGGGGTGTGAAAGTCTAATGCAACTTGATGGACAAGTTTTCTCCATTCTGAACAATGAGCAACAAGCTCCTCCTAGTCTTTCCAAACATTGCCCCTTACAAATATGGTGCCCACACATTCCTCTCCATCATCCCCCCTCCCTGGCCCTTTAAGTTCCCCCGACAAAAATGGCTGGTGGTGCCGAAGCCTGTCCGTGGGCGGAAGCCTGCAGCCGTCGTACCATTTGATGTAAACAGGAGCCCAGGAGTTTCTTCTTCGGATTTTGACATTTGCACAAGAATGTTACGAAGTCTCCCCGTCTACCTGCAGGATCCACTGTACTCTACAATCCACTTCATTTTCATGTTCACGGAGCCAACAAGAATCGCCCCGTCAGTCGCCGTTGCTCACTCGGTGCATGCTCCATTCAGCACTCTGCCTTGCGCCTGCACATTGCTACCTATACTGCAGATAAGAGACATTCAGAAGCACGCGGGATGCTGAGTAGATGATCTGTAGATGATCGAATCAGTCAGTGAATCAGAGAGTGGATAAAATGTTATCGGCTTCCATGCCTTATCCGCTTAATCTTTGTTTGCCTTAACAATTAAAAATGTTTATCTGAGCCTTGATTATACTTATCAACCCAGCCTAACAGCTCTCTATAGTAAAGAATTCTAGTGTTAAGGAGGGGAGAATGACACCTCTTTGATAATTGAAACCAAAACACCCACAGAAACTCACTTCGCCTCATAATCTGTTAAAGGAAATGGGAAGAGTGGTATAACCTGCCTTTCACTTCCTAATCTGTTATAACAGAGAGGTTAAATGAAGGTAATCCCTGATACTCACTTTATAAGCAACAAGCAGCATTTTTAAAATCTAACTCTCACAGTGAACAAATTAACAGACCTACTAACAAACCAAACAATTCCTCCTTAATTTCTAACTATTCCTGAGTAAAGAAAAATTCTAATGGTATGCTGTTCCAATTAATACAAGTTCTACTTATATAAACCAAAGTAATAAGAAAATACATCAAAAGTTAGACTCTCAAAGATACACCCAGGTTAAGTCTTCCAGAATGCGCTCTGTCTTCTCTGCTGTTTTGCAGTCATGAATGCCTTTCTTCAATATTCTCCGTTCAGGAATGCTTTTCTCCACTGTTCTCCAGTTCTAAATTCTGGTGTCTGAAGGAGGGTCGAGAATAAGTCCTGGATCCACCCTGTGACACACACAGTCATCCCCCTGGTGTCCAACATATTCAGAGCAGGATGTACAAAGGAGAAAGATAGAGGGTGAGGAGACAGAAGTTGAAACAATGAAGTGCAGAAAGGAGGATTGAAGGAGACAGACGGACAGACAGTCAGGCAGAAAGATAAAGAAGAGGAATGGAGAGAGAGAGAGAAAGAGAGACAGGGTGGTGGGGAAAGAGAGAAAGAGCACTACCCTTTGACTTCCGTTGTCAACAATAGTTTAAAAGCATTGCGGTGCAATCACTTCCCTTAATCCTGTACAGCAACAACTTTATCCATGTGAGCTTGTGGTGCAAAGGTAGTGTGATTGACTCCAGGTCAGAAGGTTGCACATTCAAATCACATCAAGCTCATGCTGCTTGTGTGCAAGCCAGCTCCCTGGGATTGATGTTAGGCTGAATGTTGTTGGTGATGTGTATTCATCCAAACCTTGCTTTTGATTGCTAGCAAAGTTTTCCATAGGAACAGTGTTGCAGGGACGTGGTGTATCCATTGTTTGGGTAAATGCACAGTTCCCCTAGTATGAAAAGTAAAATACAAACTGTTTATCAAGGGGTCTAAACACAAAGCCGCCTCCCTCTCGGCAGCGTGGTGTTAATAATTTTATACTGATCTTTTATTACTTAATCTATAGGCACCAAATATTATTTATCAGGAGTTTCCAGCTCCTCCTGTTATTGCAGAGTGACAGTGCGTTCTAAAAAAAAAAGTTTCCAACCAACAGCAATTCCTTCCTCTCACTGGGCACAGTTACAGTGATCTTCATTCAACAGCAGTAATGGAAACCACAGTCCCACAGCCTGTCTTCACATTAATGGTGAGCCTAAATTTTATAAACAATGTCGAGAACAGGGAGACAGAATGAGAAAATATTTTTGAAACTCTTTGCTGCTTTGAATCCAAGGAGCAACGTGGACTGTACTTTGTTCTGATCGAGTCTCCACTGGGTCGGGGCTGGGCACTAACTTGGGGCAATGGCTTGTTGGTGTAGGGGGATGATTCTAGCTTTGGGGGTTGTACATTGTGGATATGCAAGAGGTAATGGGATCAAATCACAGATGAGCCCTCATTGATTGCCTTCTTGTTGCCGAGTCATGCGATCAGCTTTCCAAAAGAAAAAGCTGTGTTCAATGAGCTCGAACTTCTTGAAATAGGGATGGGGCAGAGGTACCATTACAGCGAAGACAGCAAAAGGAAACACTTGTTGAAAGCGAAAACAAGTGGCTCGGGGTGTACGCGCATGCAATCCGATGTTGAATGCATCCCCCATGAAAAGTTGGTAAAGTTGAAGCACATTAGTTGCAGTGTGTTTGATCATCAGGACGCCCTACAGTAATTCCCCACACTGTTTCAGACAGCGGTGTCCTTTAGGTAACAGGCGAAGTTGTGAATACCAAGAGGATCATGACAATAATAAATCAAATCAAATCAATGATCAGCCTATCGGAGACAGCATCACAGCACAGACTCCGTTATTAGAACAGATATCACCCTCCTGAATAATGATATAGAGATGCAAGTGACAGCGAGTCGCTATGGACTCGAAGTTTTGAATGGCTTCTTTCTGCATGGGAATGACGCTCTGCGTGAGAATTTCACTTGGATTTTCTTATAACTCCTGCCCAGACTCAGCAAACAAACCAACTCCCAGGTTGCATCAGTCTTTTGCTGGACTGCTGTGTGAAGACGGATCCTGAACACCAAACAGGCTGCACAAAAACAAGAGTCTCCGGTTCCATTTCTCTCTTTCCCATCAGCTCAGCCTCTTTGTCTGTTTCGCATAACAGACATTTGGAGGAAGTTTGCAACCAAAGTTGCTCATTTCCAGCGCATTCGTGTAACTGAGCCCCAAGTGTTTGAGAGGGAGCAGAAGAGCGCAAGCACGCTTCCCTCCCCAGCACTGCCTGCAAGTGGAACAAAATGGTTTAATAAACCACCAATGGAGGGGACAAATAACACCATCCTGGGAGCAGGGAGACAAAATGAGAAAAAAGTGTTCTTGAAACTGTCTTCTGCTTTCACACCAGGTTCTGTCGTAGAAATGCAGGGGTTTTACTCGCCCATTGGTCGAGAAGTATGATTCTGGCTGAGGGGTTTGTATTCAACTAGCACATGAGGGGTCCCGGATTCAAACGCCGGATGAGCTCTGATTACTTGATTTTAGTTTTGTCAATTCGCCTGCTTTGCGAAAAAAAAGAGATGCACTTTATGAGGTTGGACTTCTTGAAATAGGATTAAGCTTCGGAATTGGGAGGTTATTGCAGCGAGCCTGGCACGGAAACATGTGTGTTCAAAGTGAAAACAAGGGTTTCAGGATGTTCAACCGTGCAATCCGACTTTGAATGAAACCTCCAGGTGCATTATTGCTCAGTTATGGGTGTGAAACTTCACGATGCAGAGACGTGAAATAATTGGAGACAGCGCTGAACAAGTTCACGTGAATGGTGCCGTGTATGAGGAATGTAAGCAATGAAGATAGATCAGAAAGTTAGGGCAGTTCTCCTTCGAGATCAGAAGGCTGAAAGTGGGTCTTTTTGAAGAATTTCAAGTCATGAGTGGTCTACACAGAGAAAGTCAGACAAAAAAATGCTCCCGTGCAGAAAGGATCGAAAATGATTAGGCAGAGATCTAAAGTCATTGGGTTAAGAAGTAAGAGTGACATGCAACAGAACAGGAAATGGTTAGTGTCTGTGATCGCTGTCTGATTGTAAGAAAAAGGCAGGTTCAATCGAGTTATTGAAAAATGAATTAGATGGTTCCCTCTAAAGTAACAATGATTTACAGGGAGAAGGTCAGAAATCACATGACACCAGCTTATAGTCCAACGGGTTTATTTGAAAACACAAGCTTTCTTCAGGTGTTAGTCAAGAGAATGACACTAAATGATATACCCATTTACCTATTGTGGAGAGTGAGCACTGCTAAGGTGGACTGCATGGCCTCTATCTACACTGTGACAGATTTGTAATTCTGAGTGAAATCAGCGTCAGACCAGCAGAATGTGGAAACTTAGACAAAAGTTATATTGCACAACATCCACATGTCACAGGGGGTACAGTGCTGTCTGAATCAGCTTCGGGAAATACTGCAGGGTATCCTGTGGATCACACACAGTACATGTTACCTTTCAGGCTATGCCAGGGTGAGAGAGCCAGAT